ATCTTTATTATTATCATTATTATTTTTATTATATATTTATTATATTATTATTATTTATTATTATATATCATTAATGCAAATCACACTTAACAATTTGCGTGAAATGCATGCATTTGTCTATGCAGACAAAGCATTAAATAATTTAATCTTTGTCTGCAGACACTTTTACATAGTCTGCTTGTCTGCTTGCAAAACTAGAAGAATGCTTGATAACCAAGGTAACCCTACCTTTACACTTTCAGTTTTTCGAAAACGAAAAACTAGCTAATCACGCTTCTGTATTACAATCTTTCCTAATACCCATTAATGATATGGATACGGACCTGCCTCGTTTGTATTTGATTCCGAAATTTTACAAGAAGACATAACGTTTTATCGTATTTTCATCTTGCTACTCAACCAAGCCGTTATGCAATTGTATTATACCATTGTATTATACCATTTTATTATACCATTGTATTATACCATTGTATTATACCATTTTTTGCAAGTGGAATAAATGGAATGATGATTTTGAAAAAAATAAAAAAATCTATCTTGAACATCCTCTCAAAATTTTGTAACAAAACAACTGCATTATAAGACATGTATGTACATGTACACTTTTGAAAAACTGTACTTGTACACAAATCAACTACAATATAGGAAATTTATGTACAATATGTGATTTATGAACATATTCCCTTTCCTTGTCATTTGGTCTTTAAATACACCGCCGCATCAGGCATGTGTGAAATATCAGGTTGACCCGACCCGTTAAGGAATGTTAATATCACTTGTAGTTGTTTTGTGTACATGTAGTTTTTAAAGTGTACATGTACATACATGTCTTATATTGTAGTTGTTTTGTGTACATTTAGTTTTTAAATAGTGTACATGTACATAATTGTCTTATATTGTAGTTGTTTTGTGTACATGCAGTTTTTAAATAGTGTACATGTACATAAATGTCTTATATTGTAGTTGTTTTGTGTCAGCTGTTATCGGCCGTTTTGTTGTCACTTCCAATCTTCTCATTATGAGGACGCCACATAACATGGAGTTTTTCATCTATGTTAAAATGCCGTGTGTCATCGATGACACAGAAGGTGCCTCCGGACCGCCTGGTCTTATTCTCCTTGTCTTTTGCAAGGGTCCCCATGCCTTTGTTTATATTCCCCCCTAATTCTATAAATCTTGAGTTCACTCTCTGGTATTCTCCTTTTTAGGAACCATCCTCCCACCAATAAAAAGCTTAACCTAGTGTTTATACTTTTAGATAACAATTCGTGTTTGTATTAGCTTTAAATGATTTTATAAGATACTGTCAGTGAGAACTAGTTGAAAATTCATGCTCAAATCCTCATACAGTTTATTTGCATCATTACCACTCATTCTTAGATTCGTGTTATTTGCATATTTAATTATAAAATGCACCGGTATACTTATCAACTGATTGTATTTAAACTTTAAAACTTTTGTCGTTAAACTAAAAAAAACACCATTTATCAGTCAATAGTTGTTCAAGTGCCGACACAAGATTTATATCCCAGCTGCCTCCCTGCCATGAATGGTAGTAAGAAGTTTGGAAAATGGTTTGACGGGGCAACTTGAAGAGAAAACAATAAAATGTTGTTATAAGGACGAATATGAAGTTTTCCCAATACAAACAAGATAGTTTCATATCCTTATCATTAATGGGTGTTCGGTAAGATTTCCATACAGAAGCGTGACTTGTTAGTATTTTGTCTCAAAAGAATAAATAAATATAAGTATGGGTTCCTCCTTTATTGAGTCTAGTTCTTCAAGCAGGTGATGTAATAGTGTTTGCCGACAGAGATGGAGCTATTTGATGTTACGGTCCAAGTTTGGTTGGTCTAGCACTTATACTTTCAGTAAAAGCAATACCTTAATCTCACTTCCGATACTTTGTCGCGACGAGACAAAAACCGCTTTCCTTTTTGACGCACAGTGATATTATGTGTGCATTAAAGTCAAACTTTTATTTTTTATGTCTAAGTATACTATTCCATTGACTTGTAAGCAATGAATGCCAGGCACTGGACACAACGAGAGCAGGCTGAGTTAGAGTCACTTTCAGAGTGGATCAAATCTATCAGCTCCATCATTCAAAAATGTAATTGCTGAAAACAAAACCCAAGTGTGCATTTATAGATGGAGGCTCCCTTATACATCGAGTGAATTGGCAAACTAATATGACGTTCGGCCAAATATGCCAGAAATACATCGACTACATACGGCGCATACACATAGAAACAACCGTCGTCTTTGATGGCTACAGCTCTGGCCCTGACACTAAAGATGGAATCCACCTACGACGCAATCGAGGAATCGTCGGAACCAAAGTAAATTTTAACGAGAACACTCCATTCCGGTCAAAGAAAGACGTGTTTTTGGCAAACAGTGAAAATAAGCAGAACTTCATTAATATGCTGAGTGAAAAGATAATTGAAAGTGGCATGGATACAAAACACGCAAACACAGATGCCGACGTCTTGATTGCACAGACAGCAGCTTCATCTGCAACGTCAAAACCCACCGTATTACTTGGCGAGGACACAGATTTGTTGGTACTCTTGTTGTACCATACGGACGTTACTGCACGACAGCTCATTTTCAAATCAAATCATTCACCAAATGGCAAATTGAAGGTATGGGACATCGGTAAAACACAGAGTGTACTTGGAAATGGCATGTGTCAGATACTCCCCGTGATACACGCCATAAGTGGTTGTGATACTACCTCGAGGTTATTTGGCGTGGGAAAGGCTGCAACTCTAAAGAAATTTGTGGAAAGCGGCGTCTTAAAAACCCAAGCTAGTGTGTTTCTTTATCCAGGCTCTACTAAAGAGCATGTCATAGCTTCTGGAGAAATTGTTATCAGTACTTTGTACAACGGTTTGCCAAACGAAAATCTGGATGCTTTAAGATACAGAAAGTTTGTAAATCGGGTCATGACGAACAAAACATTCCTACAGATACACACCATTCCTCCAACTTCCGCGGCCGCAGCATACCATAGTTTGAGAACATACTTACAAGTACAAACATGGATATCGGAAATATCTTTGAATCCAAGAGAATGGGGATGGATGCTCTCTGAAGAGAAACTTATGCCTATCAAAACCAACAAAGCTGCTGCACCTGAGTGTCTTCTACGCATCATCCGATGTCAGTGTAAAACTAATTGTGATAATAAGAGATGCACCTGTAGAAAACATGGATTGGAGTGCTCCACGGTTTGTGGGGAGTGCAGAGGTAGCAGTTGTTCAAACTCATCAAAACAAGTGGCCGAGGAATTAGAAGATGATTGATTCAATGAATGGCTGGCTGATGCTATAGCGTTAGTAAAACAATGATAGTAGAGACATGGCTCTTACGATTATCATTCTTGAACAATCATGCATATTAATCTTTACCTTCATAGTTTAGTTTCCGTTGGGGACATTTTACTAACATTTCGTAAATTCTATTCCCTCTCCCTACTATAAGGTTACGACTTACGACGTGATTAAAGACTTACAACCAATTGTAGAAGGGTCCCAATATAGCCACTGCATAGATACATAACTCTGGACCCTTTATCAAACTTGTGTCGTTAAAAACTTTGTTAAAAGCTGTGTTTTCTTTGCAAACTGAGAAGAAGAAAAAAATTGCTACTTGTTGGTCAACTCGCCCACAAAAATGTACCATGTAAAATATTCATCTGATAATTGACTGGTTTGATAGTCCTTCTAGTGATATGATCTAATGTTAAGAATAGATGTACTGTTTATACATCGAATTAGCAAGAGTGATGAATTGTTACGACCAAACCGTAATTTCTCCACTGGAATGCTTACAAAATGACGTCGTATTTCATTTGAATTGGTCAACTCGCCCACGTATAATCGTTGAGCAATATGTTTTTTTTTCATTAAAAATGTCATGTGACAGTTTTTTATGAGTTATTCAAATCACTAATGACGAATTGTTTCTGAAATGATCTCAATTGCGGTGAAATAAATCATAATAAGTTTAAACACATGTTTACTAGTTTTCATTGGTTTTTATTGAGATACTTGAGTTGGAGGCCCTTATTTGTCAATTTCCCTTTAATTTTTAGATGTCGATTTTTCAGAAGTCATTGGTGATATAAAAAAGATGATAAAAATGCATCAACCGTTTCTGTTGCAATTTGTTTGAGGTTAGGGCATTTTTGGCGTTAGGTGACTAGACTATTATTTAACCTGATGACCAAACCACACTCGACTATCTGCATGATAGGTATGTAGTTGTGTCTGCAGACGTAACATCAAATAGCTCCAACTACATACCTATCATGCAGATAGTCGAGTGTGGTTTGGTCATCAGGCTAAATAAATGCACACTTGGGTTTTGTTTTCAGCAATTACATTTTTGAATGATGGAGCCGATAGATTTGACCCACTCTGAAAGTGACTCTAACTCAGCCTGCTCTCGTTGTGTCCAGTGCCTGGCATTCATTGCTTACAAGTCAATGGAATAGTATACTTAGACATAAAAAATAAAAGTTTGACTTTAATGCACACATAATATCACTGTGCGTCAAAAAGGAAAGCGGTTTTTGTCTCGTCGCGACAAAGTAGCGGAAGTGAGACTAAGGTATTGCTTTTCCGGCGAGGGCAGCAACATTAAGTTTTTGCGTTTAATTTAGTTTTACTGAAAGTATAAGTGCTAGACCAACCAAACTTGAACCGTAGATACATGTTAGGTAGTATATATCAACCCATGCATCAAATGCTGCATGTCTTCATTGGTTTTTAGTCCACCTATATGTGCATTGGACACAGGCGAGACATACAATCCGAATGACTTGTTTTTAATGAAAATCACTTTTGTAATTTATGTATACTGTAATATAATGTTATTTTCTTTATAACAACTACATCAGATTATTAACTGACCATTTCAGGATGACAATACATTTATAAAAACTTTTTTATTGTCTGAAAAAAGAACCCCAAAAACGTTTAGTTTTTATTACAAATTTTATTTCAAGTGTCAACTTGTACACATGTTCAGATCAGTACCACAAAATTTACATAAACGGCAGATACATGTACAATAATCACGTTTATACACTTCTGGATTACGAACATTAATGAGCAAACAAGTTTATTAAAGATACATATGTTAATATACTTGTAAGAAAAACAGCTCAGTGTTGGAAAATTTGACAGCAACTTAACCATGTGAGGGGAGACAATCAATTTTGACATCACAACGAATTAACAAGAATGGAGAATTAAAGTCAACAGTTCCCTTCCATGTTGTAATAGATAAAATATAATAAATAAATCATTTTACTTAAATTATTTGCAGTATGATAATGTTCTTTCTCTGAATATCAGAATATGTGATGCACAGTTCAACAACATTACGGGACAATAAATAACAACAGAGTAAAACATAGCTATACAAGTATTGCTGCTTTTATAGATACATGCACCATTCTGATTCTTCATGCAAGTACTACTTTATAAAATTGAATCTTAATTAGAAATGTAATTGAATTATATCTTTTATCTACTAAATGTACTTTATATACATACATTTTAAAGGATTCTATAAAGAATGTAGAAGAGATTTTGTCATAATATTTTTTTTATAGAAATTAATTTATTATAGAGAAGCGGGATAATTCTATCTGGTCCCACCTGTTCTAGTAAACCACTATAAACATATAACAATATTACAATTATATCATGAGGACAGGAAACAATCATTAAATATATCCATGATTTTGAGAAATTATTGTGTTCAGTTATTATCAAAATATTTGCTAAACGTATGACACGTTCTTACACAGGAAAAAACATGAATCCATCCATAATTTTTAGAAATGATCACGATTTTTTCAGTGGTTCTTCTTTTTCTTCCTATTAAAGTGCAGTCCCTTAAAGGTATTCTCACACTGATTATTACAATATCTGCTAAGTATATGACACGTTGTTACACCAACAGGATTTAAATATATATATATAACAATTTATTGTTGTAGTAAGTAGGTGACCAGTCACAACCCTGACAATATAAATTCTGACAGTTGTAAGTACAGATGGACTTGGCCGAGACTCCAGAAAAGTCATTTTATAATGAATTTGCAATGGTGTAAATATCACTTTATCCACCGAGCCTAGAATACCAGATTCAGTTGTCTCAGACAACATGTATAATATATATATTAGCTGGAGATATATTCAAAACATATATCTTACTACAACATACATTTGTATAACATAAAGAATAATCATGTACATATTTTTCTTCACCTGACATATAAATAAACTCTTTCAATTCCAATCTCCGAGATATCATTAACTCTTCGACATTCCACGTCCGTAGATATCATTTATTCCTCAAAATTCCAAACTCGGAGATATCTTTAAATCTTCATAATTCGAAGCTCCAAGATATCATTAACTCTTTAATATTCCAAGCTTGAGATATCATTAACTTTTCAACATTCCAAGCGCTGAGATATTATTAACTCTTCAAAATTCCAAGTTCTTAGATTCCAGTAACTCTTAAAAATTCCAAGCTCTGAGGTATCTTTAAATCTTCAAAATTTCAGGTATAATGATAATAAAATATCATACTGGTACAATAAAAACAACATATCGATATATTTAACATTTACATACTGTACAGCTCACGTAAAATATTTGTTCAAGAATGAATGGAAACATAAACAATGACTTCACACCTCGCTAACCACATTCAGAAATAACCTAGGTATGTTGAAAATACCTTGAAATTACTAACATGCATTAGAATTAATTTTCATTGAAACTTTTTTCTCTATTTTCACCATGCCCCTTTGCAAGAAAAAGTGAAAACTCCTAAGGAGAATCATATCACAATACTATCAAAACGAGGTATAAATCAACGTTACAAAGTAATATTCTCATCTCTGAAAACATGAGTATCAAATCTCAGTTATAAAACATTAAATAAATACTGCATGTATAACTTGTAATCCTATCACATTATTTGAGATTGTGCTATTCATTTCATCACATGATTTGAATTATGACAAAAACTGCTTTATACAATATAATAACAGCTTTCACATTCACTTAAATTACTGAAGGCATGAGAAACCAATGCTAGTTCTCTATGGTAGTCCTATACATAGATATACTGTTAACATATTTCACTGGTACCGCTGTATTCTAATTATAGAGCTTTTCATGTTTTAACTCATTCACCCCTGAAGACACATTTGAACCCTTTCAATTCAAAGGTTGAAATAGTTCATTATGAAATTTCAGGGGTGAATGAGTTAAATACTGCACTAAATTTTGACTGCACTAACTGAGGTTACTGTATATAGTTTCCTTTTACATGTATTGTGAGGCCGCAGGGATGGTAGCTTTGCACTCGTGGTTGTGACGATTGATACACATTAAGAGTAATGATGTTTAACTATATAGATTATATCATACATCTAATAGTTTTGTTGATGATTTAACAAAATACATTTAGCTGTTGTTGCTTAAAATGCTGTCATAAAGCCTATTCATTTGACTATTTGACACTATATATGCCAGGTTTCCCCGTCACTGTGTCTATTTGACACTATATATGCCAGGTTTCCCCATCACTGTGCTAAGGCACCATGAAAATTTAGTTCCTCCATTTGTCTAGATGGCAAAATGATAATCCTTGTAAATTTAGTTCTTTTAAGTTTGGGTCAAAATGCAAAAATTGAAGCCAACATAATTAACCCACTTTACAGTATGCTAGTACATGTAATGATTCAACATGGACATTATTATTTAAACTAAACATATAAATATATGCACATTCTTTGAACCTTTTGATGTTTCAAAGGGAATATACAGTAATACATTTTTAGAAAGTTAAAAATTAATGGTTTAAATTAATACACATATGTCCTTTTGGAAAGATAACAATACTGTCTCATAAATAGGACATGTAGAATTTCAACAGGAATCCAGAAGGACCTACGGGACTAAACATCCCAGTAAGGACCTCACTGAGGTAGAGACTACCAGTGGCACTGCGTTAGATGTACAGGAAATAGGAAAATACATAGTTAGGACTTAGGACTCGACAAACTTCACATGTATAGTAATCTAATTATAAAATGAGGTTGACCAAATGTTTAACTCTCTGCTGTAAGAAATACACCATATATGTATACAATGTCTGCACAAAATTCCTATATCATATTAAATACTTCATCTAAACAATATAAAACAGTTGTAGAAGTGATCTGTTTCTAAAACAGAAACAATCCTTCCATCTACGGAGAAATGATACAAGGTAAGTACGTAAAATACTAATAAAAAAGAAATTTTGATAGAAAATATGTACCCATGTATTAGAATAAATTATAGAATATTTTTTCTTTTTAGGAAAATGGAGTGAGCAATACACCTGATCATCCTTCTAAATACGGCACAGCAACACTTTGTAGTTTAATTGTGTGTCCATTTACACTGACACCTGCTGGTGGTAAAGCTATCCAGTTTAGTTACATGCCGTTATCTATATAGTGCCTGAACATAGATTTAACTACCTAGCGTGAATTGAGCTTTGGCCAGTTAATGTATAAAAATTATCAAGAAAAAAAAAGGAAACATCATTCCTGCAAATCTTTTAATCTACACTATAGTGAAAGAAATAAAAGGGATCCACCTGTTACTTCTCTCTCTTTTATTGTTACATGATTCTTCTGTATTGTATACACTTTTTATTTCACAACCATTGCAAAGTACTGACAAATAATTGGTATTATTTCATTGCTTCATTTCAATAGTATGTATTTCAAAATACACATATATTTCTTATATATTTTATGCAATGTATTTTATTTCTTATATATTTTATGCAATGTATTTTAAACTGTTTGCAAGACTAAAATTCAAATTTTGTAACTTCCCTAAACATTTTCATCAGCTCAGCTTGTAGCAGTCAACATAACAATAACTGGTAAAAAACCCATAATCTAAATTCAAAAAACATTCTCAGTTTTTGCAAATTCCCCTTTTTTCTTACTACATTATATGATATTGCTGATAGATTTTGTACCATACCACTAATGTTGCTTTACAATCAAACCTATTCCTATCATAGAATACTTCAAGACGATTCCAGGAGCTTCTTGTAAGCTGCCCATATGCCTTTCCTTTGCCCCTTTTGTGGTGTCTGTGTTGCAACCATTTCGATGTTTCTAGTTGACTTGTCAATCACAGCAGATGTATCCACGTGGAGATGTTTTCTAATTTCTGATAATTTCATAGCACCCTTACAGTCCTGAAATTGAAAAAAAACAACTTTTGTTTATTGTTAGGTCCAACTCATATTTCACCAGATTCTGATTTATACCGGTAAAATGCTGTCAATGTTAAGAACCCATACTATGTCAAGGTTATCTCACGAGTCCACACTGAAGTATCACTTCATCATACAGTTTATGAGTGACTAGACACTCTCCAGTTGATAAGCAATTTCCATGCAAATTGACAAGTTGTTCTAAGTCAATATGATTAACACTGCAGTTTGGTGAGTAATATTTTTATTTGATTTGTACATGTGAAATAGTACTTTTATGAATGTTGACATTTTTCATCAATGTACAGAAGTTTTTTCTTTGATTTCATTGCCACTTGACTATTCAGTAACATATGTACCTGTTGTATTCAGTAACATATGTATCTGATGTGTTCAGTAACATTTGTACCTGTTGTATAGACTATTCAGTAACATATGTTCCTGTTGTGTTCAGTAATATATGTACCTGTTGTAATCAGTAACATATGTATCCCTTGTACTCAGTAACATATGTACCTTTTGTATATAGTAACATATGTTCCTGTTGTGTTCAGTAATATATGTGTCTGTTGTGTTCAGTGACATATGTACCTGTTGTAATCAGTAACATATGTAGCTGTTGTGTTCAGTAACAGATGTACCTGTTGTATATAGTAACATATGTTCCTGTTGTGTTCAGTAATATATGTGTCTGTTGTGTTCAGTTACATATGTATCTGTTGTGTTCAGTAACATATATACCTGTTGTATATAGTAACATATGTACGTGTTGTATTCAGTAAAATATGTACCTGTTGTGATCAGTAACATATGTAGCTGTTGTGTTCAGTAATATATGTGTCTGTTGTATTCAGTAAAATATGTACCTGTTGTAATCAGTAACATATGTATCCCTTGTACTCAGTAACATATGTACATGTTGTGTTCAGTAATATATGTACCTGTTGTGTTTAGTAACATATGTACCTGTTGTATTCAGTAATATATGTATCTGTTGTATTCAGTAACATATGTATCTGTTGTATATAGTAACATATGTACCTGTTGTGTTCAGTAACATATGTACCTGTTGTATATAGTAACATATGTACCTGTTGTATTCAGTAACATATGTATCTGTTGTATATAGTAACATATGTTCCTGTTGTGTTCAGTAACATATGTACCTGTTGTATTCAGTAACATATGTACCTGTTGGAAATGATCTTTATATTTACCTGTTTTGTTGCCACTATGAGAAGTGGGCGTGTCTCCTGATCATTTTTTAGAAACTTGATAAGAGCTTCTCTAGATTCATTTATTCTGTCCCGATTGGAAGAATCGACTACCCAAACAATGTTATGTATACTCTGGAGAAACTGTTTCCAGTATTCACGGCAGACTTCAGATCCTCCAACTGGAAAAAGGGAGTAGAGTTACATGTACATGTACATAACAACGTGAGGGAACATGTATATCTATAAAACACTCCTGCATATACCAACTTACCATGAACATGTCTCACTGAAAAGGCCAGTTCAGAGTAAGTGAAAAGTTAAGCCCAACAACTTTGACAACTTACAGGTCAAAACATGGTGCATGTTTAAAGGTGTAATACAGCCTCCCATCAACAAACATCACTTACCATCCTAAAAATCACTTACCATTCCAAACATCACTTACCATCCCAAACATCACTTACCATCCCAAACATCACTTACCACCCCAAACTTAATTTAACGCCCCAAACATCATTTACCTACCATCCCAAACATCACTTACCACCCCAAACTTAATTTAACGCCCCAAACATCACTTACCACCCCAAACATCACTTACCATCCCAAACATCACTTACCATCCCAAACATCACTCCAAACATCACTTACCATCCCAAACATCACTTACCACCCCAAACATCACTTATCATCCCAAACATCACTTACCACCCCAAACATCACTTACCACCTCAAACATCACTTACCACCCCAAACATCACTTACCACCCCAAACATCACTTACCATCCCAAACATCACTTACCACCCCAAACATCACTTACCACCCCAAACATCACTTACCACCCCAAACATCACTTACCACCCCAAACATCACTTACCACCCCAAACATCACTTACCACCCCAAACATCACTTACCACCCCAAACATCACTTACCACCCCAAACATCACTTACCACCCCAAACATCACTTACCACCCCAAACATCACTTACCACCCCAAACATCACTTACCACCCCAAACATCACTTACCACCCCAAACATCACTTACCACCCCAAACATCACTTACCACCCCAAACATCACTTACCACCCCAAACATCACTTACCACCCCAAACATCACTTACCACCCCAAACATCACTTACCACCCCAAACATCACTTACCACCCCAAACATCACTTACCACCCCAAACATCACTTACCACCCCAAACATCACTTACCACCCCAAACATCACTTACCACCCCAAACATCACTTACCACCTCAAACATCACTTACCATCCCAAACATCGAACAGATTGGATCCCATGTTAACACTCTTAACATTAAATCCGACAGTTGGCCGAGGCTCATCATATGCTTTCCCATCTTTGTTGCCTTTTCCGAAACACCTCACAAAGCTTGTCTTTCCAGCGCCATCCAATCCAATAACTAAAATCTTTTTACTGGGAGGATCTTTTGACTGAAAGTAGAGCAGTAAATATACAAACGAGCATAAAGTTGGGGGGGGGGGGGGGGGGGGGGGGGGGGGGGTGAAC